GGTTATGGGGTGTGTGTGTGTGTGTGTGTGTGTGTGTGTGTGTGTGGTGGAGGTGGGGCAACTCAGTGCCCACTGCAAGTTGCTACTAGTCAAGAGGTTGGAAGGCACATATGACGCCCTCTGGAGTCTCTCAGTGTCTCAGTTTCTTTACCTGTAAAATGGATAACCCAACTAATCTAATAGTGTATAGTCTACGTGTGGGAATTGATTATCTCTGTCACATTTTGTCCAACTTTTAAAGCAAATTTTCAAAACCATACTCGTGTGACAGTTCCTTTTCAAACGTGGGCAGGGCTGGCACACTTTACTCCTCATTTTTAAGGTGTATCTCAGTTCTTCCCGATTGTTTACTCCAGTAATTGTACAATAGAGCTTCTCCTGGGCTATAGCATGTATGTGGGGTGGTCAAGTAGAAAACAGAGAAATCAAGGCTTTCCCAGTGAAACAAGGGCACAAGGTAAATACAAAAGGTCACAAAAATTTAAAAGAAACCCACAATTATTCTACCGACAAATGACTACACTGGTCTAATTCTAGGCATTAAATCGATCTATGGAAACCTAAAAGCTTATTAGTAAGCTTATTAATGCAAATGAAGGCTCAGAGAGGTTTAGACTTGCTTAAGGGGCCACAGAAAAAGGCTACATATCTTAAAAATACCTTTTAGACTGGTCTTAACAGTAGAACCTCTTAAGAAGACCTTATTTCCCTGTCTCATGTCCCATCTTTGGAATTACGTGGTATAATATAATGCCAAGTTTAAAGAACATGATACAGACATTGATTCCAATTGTGGGAAAGTTCTTGGGTTTTTGTTGTTGTTTGTTTGCTTTGCTTTTGTTTTTAAAATTTAAAACACAATTTTGAGAAATTTCAGGACACAAGTCCTATGGACTGTAACCCTGTTTTCCTATCCAACTATTTATGCTGCTGTGCCCACAGTGTGTGCTCTGGCTTGTGCTGTTGCTGGTGACATTCTGGTACATTCTCTGGCTCCTGCCTTTTACAGTCTTTTTATGCTGAGGATTCCTATTGCCTCTGCCTCCCATGGTTGCGCTCTCTGTATCAAGCTCTTCCGACAACAGGTGTGCTCTGTGCTCTCGAACTTTCCTAGCCTCCTCTCACTCCATCCCCTGCTGCTGCCAACACCCCTAGCCCCTGTGAGAACATCTGCTGTTGCCATGGCTCACTGACTTCTGCCTTCCTGGTCCTGTGCTTTGCCTGCAACTCCTCCTCCTCTTCACCCCCACAGAGATGCTGTCAGCACTGTTAGCCTGAGAGAGCGAGGGAAAGGATTGATGGGGAAGGGTATTAGCAAATCAGTAGGGGATGGTGGGAGGGAGAGCAAGACGTAAGGTGGGTGATTGTGTCTGAGGATTGATGAGCAAGAGCCAGTGATGTGTGAGTAGGAGGGAAAGGCATGAGGGATGGACGTGGAAGGTGGGTGCGGATGCCTTTTCACTGGAGTTAGGGCTCTCACACACAGTTGGTTACAGACGCTCTCTTGGTTGTCTTCCACACGCTGCCAGTGGAGAAAGATACAGGTCCTGTGACACCTAAAGCTTGCAAGATTTGGTCATGGATCCAGGCCAGGCAACAATGGAAGTTCCCTTTAGAGTCAGGCTTGAAAGTGGGCATTTCTTTACAATTATAAAGCAAACCACAAGAATCTTGTAGTGACTTTTAGACAGAAAGTTTTCTTTGTCCTTCTAAGACCAATAGTGTGATTATTTGAAGGCAAAGCTACCGTGTCAGTTTTCTTAGCCTTATGCCAAATTGCCATCATTGTATCTTACCAGCTTATTTATATTTTTAAAAATGAGCTAATTTGGTGGATAGAAAAGATGCTGAGTGTTCTTTCCAGCATTCCCTGACCTTTCCTGAGCCCTGAACACTTGAGTGAGCCGTGTCACTAGCACAAGAGCACCTGAAAACTGAAAATCAGTTTTGTTGTAGAGTTGTACAAAAGCAAACACCAAAACCAAAAAAGCTGAAGGAATTTCCCACAGTGGGAATCAGTATCTGCAGACTGTCCTTTAAAAACTTGGCACTGTACTAGACCATGTAATTCCAAAAATGAGACGTGGAAATAATGTGTCTTTTTTAAGAGGTTCTACTGTTAAGACCAGCCCAAAAGTTCTTTTCTAAGTATCATTGAAGGAACGGTGAGGATGAATAGTTCAGTAGAGACAAGAAAGCATCATCTATGGTAGAAAACTGCCCCAAATCTGAATGCCCTGCACCCAGTCCCTAGAGAGGACCCTCGGTGTTCTAGATTCAGATGCCACATGTGACGGATTGTTCAGTTGATTGCCTTTAATTTTTTTATTTTTGAATAGTTATAGCTATATAATGAGTGCATTTCCTACACCCATTGTCCCCACCCTTCCCTTTTTACAACTCCCTCCCATTTCGCTGCTTTGTTTCTCAACTATCTCATTTCTATTTTTTTTACATACACATGCATGATTATACATGACTATACAAGATCTAGGAATCACAAATAGGACAAAGCATATAATATTTGACTTTCTGAGCCTGACTTCTTAGATTAATCTAGAGTTGCATCCATTTTCCTGAAAATGACACAATCTCATTCTTTTTTATGATGAGAGCAACCCCACTGTATTCATAAATCGTATTTTCCTTATTGTTCCTCTGTTGACGGGCACCTAGGTTGGTTCCATAATTTAGCTGCTATGGGTAGTGCTGCAGCAAACCCAGATGTGACACCTTGCTGTGGATTCTTTGGGGCAAATACCAAGGAGGGGTATATTTGGGGCAAGATGGAATCTTCATGTGGCTGGATTTGTATTTCCCTGATAGCTAGTCATGTGACTGTTGTTTGTGTCTTTTGGTTATTTGTCCTTCATCTTTTGAGAACTTTCTGCTTTTACTTTTTTCTTTCTAATTTTGTTACATTTTTTTTCTTTTCTTGGTCTAATTGCTCTGACTAGTATCCATAGTGCTGTGTCGAATAGAAGTGGCAAGAGTCAGTCTCGTTTTCCTGGTGTTAGATCTTAGAGAAGATATTTTGAAATCTACTTATATGTTATATTAGTTGTAGAATTTCCATAAATAGCCTTCGATTGTGTTTCCGCAATCATCTATGTTTACTTTGTTGAGCGGTTTGAATCATAAGTGATACTGAATATGTCATCAAGATTTTCTGTATCTTTTGAGATATCAGATGACTTTAATCTCTAACTCTGTTAAAACATATTATATACATGTGGTAATAGATTGATTTCATATGTTGCCTTCATTGAATCTCAGGAATAAATATTATTTAGTTATAACTTATGATATTTTTGTGCCCTGTTGAATTTTACTTGTTTCTGATGCAGAATTATAAAATTTATATTCATCAGATTACCGTCATGCACTGCCCTACGTCATCCTGGATTCTCTTTTCCGCGCTGCCTTCATCCTGTCTTGATATCATAGTCATGCTGCTCTCCTGCGTTTAAAAGTGCCCTCTCCTTTAGGTTTGGAAGAGTGTTAATTACTCTCTATCGACTTAGAGAAGTTCATCTGTGAAGATATTGCTTGCCTTTTCTTTGTTCAGAAGTCTATGGTTACTAATACCAGTTCCTTACTGATTGCTTGTCTGCTAAGCTTTCTAGAGCTTCTGATTCAGCTTTAGTAGGTTGTGTATTGGTAGAATAGCAATCCACCAATTTTTTCTAAGTTATCCAACTGTCTGGCACCTTATTGCTTATAACAGGTCCTTATGCTGCTTTCTGTTTCTGAGGCAACGGTGACTGGCTAATGGCATAACCACATTATTATCATGAGCTTGCAGCAACTGCAGTTGCCTGTACTGGGCCTGTTGAAGACTGGACCTCTCAACAGTCAGTCATGGCTGGGGGAGGAGTTCATGAGGCCCTACTCTTCCCTGCTGAACTGTTAGCAACTCCAGGATGCTGGGGAATGGGGAGTCATTGTCTTTATATGTGTACCTACTGGTGAGGGCTGTGAGACAATCTTTTTTGTACACTGTGAAGATGTGTTTTTGTCAAGGCACCTTCTGGTTGATTTAGTAAAGAGCCGAATGGATAATAGTTAGTCAGGAGAGGATAGGCAGGATTTCTAGGGAGAGAGAGGAAGAGGAGAAAGAATCTAGGTGTGGGTATTATGCGAGCAAGACACAGAGCAAATCAGGCATATGGTGCAAAGGAGAGGTAGCAGAGATATATAACGAAACATGGATTAATAAAAGCTGGTTAATTAAATTATAAGAGCTATTTGGGAAAAAGCTTAAGCTAAAGGCCAGGCTTTCATATTAAGACTCCATGTCATTATTAGGGAGCTGGCAGTCCCACAAAGGAAACTCTGACTACATTTGAGAGTGTTTACTACTACAGGTGAGCCCAGCAGGTCCCATTGGACAGTTCTATACCCACGATCATGCAGAAGACCCCAGGGTCTAAACTTGGGTCACAAGACAACTGAAAAGACATGAACATGAGAAAGATCTGTCGGGAGGAGTGGAAGTGACGGGAAGAGGAAGAAAAGAGAGCATGGGGTGAAAATCATCAGAACGCATTATATACACGCATGGACTTTTCAGAGAGAAATAGAGCTAAGTGAACACTGGCTAGGTCTGGGGTGCAGCTCAGCGGGGGCGTGCTTCCGGCACACGCACTTCACTCCTCAATACAGGAAGAAAAACAAGCAAAGAGAAGTGAAACTCAGATGAACAATTAACAAATCCTGGGGGAGCTAAGGGGGGAAAGAAGAATACTCAAATAAACATAGAACTGAAAGTGAATTCACGGCCACACGTACTTGGGTTACTGATTCCTAGGTTGTGCTGTGACTTCTGTGCAAAGAAGTGATGTAAACGAGCAAAGGAGAGGATTAAAGGGCTCGTCACCCTGTTCTTTCCATTCGATATTTTTCCAAGACCAAACTGAGTGAAGAAGAGGTTGAAAAAATGTCAACCAGAGGAGTCTCAAAGAGTGACCAAAACATTGTCATTAGTTTCTGCCCAGAAATTGATAGTAATGCCCTATTTCTGAAAACACCATACACTTCTGACAGAGGAAAGACTACCCTAGGAGAAGCAACTCTTATGCATAGGTAGAATCTATGGAAGCTGCCCAGGAAGAAAAGCAATCAAGAGTTCTACCCAGTTTTAATACTGTGATCAATAACTAGAACGGCAGGACCATCCTGAAAGGTGCAATAGAGCCACCTACATACTGGGGGAACCAGTTGCTCTTGAGTTTGATATAAGGCCTGCTCAATTGGAGGGAATTCATGCCTGGTACCATAAAACTACCTTATGATCCACGATTGGTAAGGCCATAAATCCTAGAATAGGACTGCCACTTCATTAAACCAATATAATTTCTCACTTCATTCTAAATGTTTATCCTTATACTTATAAGTAAGAATAGCTATCACCCCTCATCAAGGAAAATTTTTTTTTCAGCAGACAGAGATCATTACAGAAAACCTCAACTGGTCAGAAGGAAGAGTCCAAATGACTTTGTGGGATATACAGTTCACCTGGTATATCTACAACACAACCAAAACTCCTAAACCTCAGGGAACATCACAGGAGATGGGGCAGAAGATTGTAAAAGCCAGAGGACCAGAATAGGATAGCTACTTCAAGATAATGTCCTATATGCAACACGAACCCAGGAATTCTTAACAATACAGCCACCAAAACAAGATTTAAAAAATGATAATACCAATGGTCATGCCAGCGAGGGTAAGGGAATTACCTCAAGCCTTCATCACTAGAAGAGCTACAGGCAATTCACGGGTGCCGAGAGAGGGAGATTCAGTCTTCTCAAGGAACAAACTACTGATAGGTTAACCAATCCCTAAACACATGTAAGAAACACTAAATTACGTATTTACATTGTATTAACAAATTTATGTACATATGTGTAATGTTTATAATTAAAGGGTAAGAAGCCATGACTAGGAGGAGTGTGGGAAACATAGGAAGAACGGGAGGGAGGAGAAGAAGGAAAGATGAGAATACATACGAAATCCTCAAAGAGAAAAATTCAAAACTCTGGCTGCCTGGGTCACATCTGAAGATGTGATAGTGATAACCCAACTCCTGCTTGTCACCCTCTCCAAGGCTCAGAGAACGTCATTGAGCAGGGCAGAGGAGGAATGTTCGGTGAGGTAGTCGGGGAGGGTTCCGGTGGAAAGCGGCCTTCTGGATATAACATGACGACTCCACTTAGAAACTTACAGCAGCCGCAGTCACCTCCGCAAGACTTGCACAAGAATGGGCCAGTCCACATTCTGTCACGGATGAGGGAGGAGTTTACAAGGTACCACTCCTTTCTGAGGAGGTATTGGTATTTTCTTCAGCGGTATAGCCCTTGGTAAGCTGTCTCTGTTTTATTAAATAACCCAATCCATGCTCGTATAAGCAGCCCCAATTAAATCAGTGAGCCACAGAAAGAAGACAAAAAGACATGGAAGTAGATGAAAGAGGTTCAGCAGGAGAGGGGGCAGGTGACAGAAGGATCCAGATACATTATGTACTTGTATGAAGTTGACAAAAAACTCATAATATTTGTAAACATCTGCTTAGAGATGGGGGTGACAATCACACATTCTGGTGATATGAGGATCTGTGGCTATAAGTACCAAACAATAATAAAGCATGCACTCTCTGTTGCAAATCCCACACAGCCAACAAATGTGTTCATTGATTTTTGCCTCGTCATATAGTTACAAACGAGAAAACAATACCGATTTGACATGAATATCAATTGATGTTCCCATATACAAGACAGAAGTAAAACTAGATGCATGCATGTGACCGTCTGTTAACCGGTGTCACAGCAGTTCCTGAGTTAGCTCAGAAAGCAGCTTTTGTGGGTGCTAATCACAGTGCAATAAATACAGAAATGCTATACCTTGAAACTTAATCTACACGTTTAATCTATGTTACCTTTTTTCTCATACAGTCAAATCAAGACTTAGTTCACTTTTTTTTTTCCTGGAAAAAGCCATGTAGTAAATATGTTAGGATTTTAAAGTCACATGGTCTGTCTCAACCAGTCCACTCTGCTATTGTCTTAGGCTGGCAGCCATAGGCAGAAAGTGAACAGGTATGGCTATGTTCTAATGAAAATAAACTTAAAACAAAACAAAAAATTTTGTCCATGGACTGTCCCAACCAATCAACCAATCCTTAACTCAAGTCTTTATTTTTATCACGTATTGGTTTCTATTGTGTATGCACTCTGACTGGTCAGTTTTGAATCATAACAAATTATTATTGAAAACAACCCTTGAAAGGAATGTAGCACACTCCTAGCGAATTCACACCATATGCATCCAAACACACATACATACATACATACATACACACACACACAGGAAATGCGCAATAATAACAGAAAGAATAGGCAACAGTAAAATGTAAAAAATTTGAAAGAAACAATTATCTTTTTATGAGATCAGTTCAATGTTTATAAACGATTTTTAATAATGGCTGTATCTAACCTTTGTCTAGACCTGACAGTCTAACTGTTGTTCACAAGCTGCTGGAAGCCAGCCTCAGGACACTAAACCATTCCGCTCAAACCAACAGGAGTAGAAAACAGTGGTGTTTCTCAGATGGTCTCCAGATGATTCTATCCAGTCAAACAAGGAAACTACTACCCTAAAAGGTCAAGGAGTTGAGCTGATACCTGGAGCTCTTGGGATTTAGAAGAATAATGTGTGCCTTGAGAGGGCTCAGTGTTTCAAATAGGGAAACTGAATAGAGCAGAGGCAGAAGGCTATGAGGTCGAGCCTTCCTGGGGTGGGGGTTGGGGGCGGGGACATCACCAGGGGAATGTATGAGACAGGTGGGAGAGAATTCTGGACAGGTTATCTAACCACTCTGGTGTGCTGGATACAGGACTGGCAGTGCTCACGCCAAGAAAGCCTATAAAGCACAGTGAAGGCATTGGATGTTTTGTTTGTTTGGTTTTAATAGCCTTGTGCAGATTTTAGCCACCATATTAGACACCACAGCAGGTACCTACAAATATTATACAATGTGTTTCCTTTGCTTATAAATTTCCTATTTGCTGGTGTGGAAAGAATTCTGAAGCATGCTGAAAGGATGAGTATGTGAGAGTAACAGTTCAGAGTCTGCAATTAAAATCTTACTGCCAAGCTAATGTGTTAATATGATAGAAATTCTTCAGAATCAACAATGCATTGACGGGGGAAACGTTCTTTTCCCCAGGGACACTATAGTCAATACAATAGTGGACTAAAAGGAATAGGCATGTCGTTAAGGTGACCAAACCCTTAGTCTGCTTTATCTCTTAATCAATAGCAAGTATTTTTGCAGAACAGTCCAAAACCAAGCCAAAACCTGAAAAGAACAATATCACTCAACAGTGGGAACCCTTGTCTTCGATGCCTTAGATGTCACTCCCTGAATTGTTCGCTTACCGGCACAGACGATGCATTTAAGATTGAGTCACATTTCCCAAAAAGTCAATCTTTAATGGTAATATTCCCATTTAAAATCAATCCATGGGACTATCATCACACACTCCCATACTCTTTAAAATGGTGTTCGCGAAAAATAAAGTGCAAGACGAAGGCTGAGCAGAAGGCAGCTATGAATATGATCATATCACCGTAAATGGGATGGAAAGGCAGTGGAGGTCTCCAAACAGTCCTCTTACCCAGAAAGGACCACACGCTCAGCGACGCTGGTCCCGCTAAGCAGAGGTCTCTGAGATGCCACCTATAAAGTTACAGAACTGCATTAACTTGACGGAGGCACCGTGACTACGCTGCTATTAATCCACACATCTTTACGTCCCCTCAGCTTTCGTCACTTCGTCTGCTTTAGCCAATGTGGGTTTTTCTTTTCCCACCTAACACTGCAAGAGCAGAAAAGCTCAGGACATTTAGCCATCTTGTCCCGACAAATAACCAATTCACCTTTCTCCCCTCAGTATATTCTTAAGTATTGATTTTACCAAGTGAACGCGGACGTGTGTCACACTCATCCAATACGTATCTTTCTTCCTGGAAATGTAGTTTGAACATCAATCAGTCACCCAGCCGTTTCACCTCCGAGTCTTATTGCCGCTGTCTGTCAACTATTACACCATGGCCATAGTTTCCAAATACGTTGCTTTTTAGAAAATGAAACGGACACAGTATTTTATTTCTTTGAGATGTATGTAAATGTTCACTCACTGAAGTTCTTCATTAAGTTTACTTTTCTGTATCGAATGCTAAGTTTTATAAACCCCCATTACAAAGACACAGAGTTATTCCTTTTCGAGGCCCTGGTTTTTGAATAGTATTCTTTTCCCTGCAAGTCAGACCTCCCCGTTGAGGAGGACTGAGAACCAATGTCACACAGGTCCTCAACGGCATCGAATGCTTCTGTCTCTGCCTGTATCCAGTGAGAGTCAGAGTGACACCCACCTTGAGCTGCAGACTCCCGGGACCACGGTGTTTGCAGGGAGGCTCTTAAGGTGTTGGCAGACACAGGAGGAACTGCTCCTGCACAGCCTGTAATTGGGGGCCCAGCTTAGCGAGAGGGCCTCTGCTGCTTTGGATAGCTGTCTGCAACTCATCAATCAGCGTGCTCACCCGAAGGGGTTAAACTGCAAGAGTTGTTAGCAAGGAGTAATTGTTGATGTCACACCTATTAGATTTTTGAGTATCTAGCCTGATAGGAGAAAATGACTTCAATTCAAGAATTTAAGTATGGCTCTATCCTCTGGTAAAAAGAAGACGAGGGATAAACATAGCCATCTCCATTATCCACTGTGTGTGTGTGAGTGTGTGTGTGTGTCCCTTTACTTTTGTATTAAGAAGCCATTTAAAATTGCTGAATGAAAACTAACTCTATGAATAACAAAGAACATAGAGCTCTCAGAACTGTGTAAAATACTTAAACTGCTTAACAGGCCCAATATGGCGACACTGAAAAGAAAGAGGTCGGCTGTGTGACATCAGTCTTGTCTACATAATGAATTTCAGAATATCAAGTGCTACATCAGAGCCCATTTCAAAGAAGAAAAAAAATACAAAGAAGAAAATAAACAAAATACTCAACAAAATAAAAGCTTCCTTGGCCTTGAAGTTCATTGTCATGTAACCTGTATTTGAGTTTACTGTAAGTGCCTTTCTAAGCTATTTTACCTTACCATGTACTAAATTAAAATGTCAATGCATATGTTAAATTCATTAAGGTTTTGTAGATCTTTAAAATATGTTTTCTGCCTAGACGGCATTCTAAATATACATAAAATAAAGCATAGAATTTTCCAAAAATAAGAAAAGCTTAAAAGACAATTATCTTTGATGTTTCTACTTCTGGACTCCTCATCAGTGGAGTTAGGAAAGACATATGACCTTTACTCATATATTACTAAAGAGATAGCATGAGAACTCGGAAGTAACAAATTAATATCATAATCATATAGTTTGATAATTAAAAATGACTACACTTCTTTGACTCCTCATTGGTTCTGTCCTTTGGGGAAGTATCCAGAACCAGTATAGACTATACCGTAGTTCTATTTTTGGTTTCTTGAGAAGCCTCCATGTTGCTTCCACAGTGGCTGGGCTGGTTTATCTACCCACTCATGATGACTAAGAAGCCCCCTTTCTCCATCCCTTACCAGTATCTGTCGCTATTGTTTTCTTAATGCAAACCCTTCTGACGGTGGTGGAATTTGCACCTCCACAACTAAGAATGTTGAAAACTAGTTTAAAATAGTTTTTAACCGTTTATGTTCTTCTTTTGGACACTATCAATTCATTCAGCTATCTATTCATGGGAAGATATTTTATTTTGAGTTCTTTATACATTCTAGAACTAGCCAAAGCTTGTTCTATTCTGCAGACTGCTTCTTGCTGATAGCTTCCTTTGCAGTGCATAAACTTTTACCACCATGCGATTCTACTTGTGAATTATTTGCTTTGTTTTCTGTTCCTTTGGAGTTTTTTCCAGAAAGATCTTGACTATGCCTATACCTTCAAATATTTTCTTCTTTGTACACTGGTGTGGCAGTATGAATGTAATTGGCCCCATAAGCTCATGGGGAGTGGCACTATTAGGGGATATGGCTTTCTATAGTAGGTGTGGCCTTGGTTGGAGGAGGTATATCACCGTGGGGGGGGTGCTTTAAGGTTTCACAAATGCTCAAACCACGCCCAGTGTCTCAGTTCACTTTCTGTTGCCTTTGGATCAAGACGTAGAATTTTCAGCTCCTTCTCCAGCACCATGTCTGCTTACAGGCCACTATACTCACAGTTGCCGATGGAGTAAACCTCTAAAACTACAAGCCACTACCTCACTTAAATGTTCTCCTTTTTAAGAGGTGCTGTTGTCATGGTGTCTCTTCACAGAAATAGAAATCCTAACTAAGACAATGGATATATTGTTGTTTTCTGCTTTAACATGTTCTAGGTCTATCGTACTCATGTTTACCCTTGTGTGGTTGATAACAATTCTTGCCTAAATGTCTGCAAATAAAATGGACATTACCTCTAAAGAGTATCCTATATACTTACACATTAACCTCTTAATATCTGAAAATACAGTATTTCATCCAGCCTGTTGTAATTCTCATGATTACTCTACAATTGCTATCCCTTCTTCAAAGAGTTCAAAGAATTTAACCCAAACAAGTTTATACTCATAATTACATGGCTTAAATATCTATTTTTCTGCTTTACCTGCTAGTTCAGTGTGTCTGTGTATATCTGTGTGTTCATGTATATACATGTGTGGTTGGCAAAAGTTAAATATAATTTCTTAAATATATATGTACATATATATGAGAGACATCAATTATACTTTAATTTTTCTAAGATGTTTATAAGAATTATATGCATAAAACCAAATTACTTTAAAATAATTCATGTATTTCTGAAAAGACATATTCAAGCTGCTGAAAGAGAAAAGAAAACCTGTTAACTGAGAATACTTGCCCCAATAAAATTATATCTCAATACTAAAGAAGAAATAAAATATTTCCCAGATAAAGAAAAATTGAGTGAATTTACCACAGCCCTACCAATTCTACAAAGAACACTTGTGGAGCCTTGCACTAGAGACAAAAGAATGGGGCTGGGCATGGTGGTGCACGCATTTAATCCCAGCACATTGGAGGAAGAGGCAGGTGGATCTCTGTGAGTTTGAGGCCAGCCTGGTCTACATAGTGAGTTCCAGGATAGACAGGACTTCCCCAAAATGTCCTGTCTCAAAAAAAAAAAAAGAAAAAAGAAAAGAAAGGAAAAAGAAGAAAGAAATAAAAGGAAAAGAAGTGAAATGATGGCAACTGTCATTATTAAAAGCTACAAATATGCAAAACTAACCAAAGAAACAGATACATAATATGGAAAGCAAAAATAACTAAAGCTATTGTACTATAAAATAACAAAAGGTAAGGAAAATGACAAAAATGTATAATGCTAACAGACTATGAGCAATATGCTGACAAGTACAAATTCATGGCTATCATTAACTTTGAATGCAAATGTATTAAATTCTCCCAAGAAAATGATGGACTGAACCTCTCCTCCCAACTCCTGATATGTAAAGAAATACCCAAACTATGAATCTTTGGGCCCAACTTTATACCTTCCCACACAGCCCTCAGCACCAACAGTTTACAGATTCCAGAACCTGAGCGCTAGGTACAAACTTTCACCTTTTCCTCAGTGCCCATAATCAATGGGTAAGGGGTCCCTGTACCTTGTTGGCCTGCACTTCCGCAGTTCCCCTAGCTCCCAGCACCGACAGGTAAACAATCCCCAGGGGCTCACTCAGTGGACCACACTTCCACTCAACCAAGAAACCCAAGATGCACAAATCCAAGTCCAGAAACAAAAGTAATTTGAAAATCTAAGACAATAAATCTCCTTCACAAAGTGCTAGTCACATAATATACCCCAATGAGAGAAATCTGGAAGATCTTCCTGAAAAGAATTAAAAAGAATATTGATTATGCTTAAATAGCTCAAGGAGAACACAAATAAACTTAGAACAGAAACAGATGAATACAATAAGAAAGTCAATACAAAATATAAAAATAGAATTCAATAGAGAATTATGTAAGAATAGCCAAACTCGAATGGTGTTAGAAATGAAAACCTCAGCAAACCAAATAAACCCTCAGTAGAAAGTCTCATTAACAAAATAGTTCATGTGGAAAACAGTATCAAGGCTGGAAGTCTAGGCAGAGAGATAGGGTCATTCAGCAAAGGTCAATGATAAATTTATATCATACAACCCTATTGTGAAGACAACTCTCACTTATGCAACCAAACATGGAGAAGTCAAGTTGCTGCCTGACTAAAAGCTTAACCCTTACTGTCTGGAGTTCATGGTGCTAGAAGGTAATACCACTAGAGAAGAAAGATAATTATCAATATCACCCAGTTACAAACTCTGCAACCTATAATAGCGAACTGCTTGCCAGGTATGTTGGTGTAGCAGTGGCACAAATGTTGTGGGAGTAAACAATCATTTTTAAAATTGGATTAAGATCAACCCAATGACATGGCACCTATTCCCAACACTGTTAATGTGGGTAAGAACATAAAACCAGATAGATCATGCACCTACAAGAAAATCTATTATTATTATAATATAAAAACACAGCCAAAAAAAAAGAATTCCTAATGACGTATTGCTATACCAATAAATGAATGCATTGCTTGGCCCTCATCCAAGAAGCTTCTTCTTGCAGTAGATGGTAATTAACACAGAGACTGACAACTGTACAACACACAGAGACTGAGAGCAATCTTGGAGCACTCAGTCCCAAATGCAGTGTCTCCATCCAACCCTTCCTCTCAAGGTGCAAGGCTCTATACAGAAGAGGGAGTAGAAAGATTTTAAGAACCAGAATGACTGATGTGTCTTCCAGACGGAACAGGACTGGTGCACATACAAGCTCACAGACTGTGGCAGCACACATAGGACCTGCACAGGTTCAAGACAGATGGGGTCCCAGCACTGAGCTGGGGAACTGGACACAGGTTTTCAACCCTAACCAAGAAGCTATTGGCAATTGATAGCTGCAGGCAAAGGGAAAATCGGTATCAATTTTCTCCAATGGAGTATCATCAGGTATATCAACCACACTCTAAGCATGTCTTGTGCCCCCAGAGAAGTTGGCCAACACAAAATAAACTCAATGGTTTTATGGCGCTCTCTCTCTCTCTCTCTCTCTCTCTCTCTCTCTCTCTCTGTGTGTGTGTGTGTGTGTGTGTGTGTGTGTGTGTGCGCGCACGCGCACGCACATGCGTGCATGCGTGAGAGAGAGAGAGAGAGAGAGAGAGAGAGATTTGGTTATTTTATTATATTGGCTTTTTGTTTTTAATCTTCATTTTTTGTTTTTAGGTGTTTTTGTTTATTTGGTTTTAGGTTATTTGAAAGAGAAATAGAGATAGAACATGGAGTTAGGTTGGTAGGGAGGTGGAAAGAAATTGGGAGGAGGTGGAGGAGGGAAAAACATGATCAAAATGTAGTGTATGAAACAAAATTTAAATAAAATACATGAACAGGATATGGGAGAACTCTAAAACACTAGGTTAAGCTTTAACCTTTGGATTACAGGCACAGAATAAGGA